AAAAAGAAAATTTTTTTTGTTAAAAAATTATCTTTTCTTTTGATTTAAATTAACAATTGAAATGTAAATTTGTGCCGATAATTGGATTTGTTTTGATAATTTGATGGAGGACAGTTTTTTTCTTCTTTTTCTTTTTTGGATGAAGTTTTTATATGATAGATTAATGGAAATTCTAAATTATTCGATAAGAAATTATCGATTTAATTTTTTAATTGATAATTTTTAATTGGATTATTTTAAATAGTTAAACATGTAACAAATACGCTAATCATTCGTTATCAAAATTTTGAACTGAATTTTAAAAGACAAAAGTTAATCAATTATTTCACTCTATGCTACTAATAGAATGCGATTTATATACAGATAAGGAAACATTGATAAAGATTTCAAATTAAGTTATTAATAAAAAAATACTTATTTAATTGCTTCAATTTACTAGAATATGATTTATGCAAATAAATAATAATGAAATATAAAATTGAATTAAAATATATGAAATAATACAGGAGGTATGGTACACGATGTGCCGGTTGCAATATGGGTTTAGATCGAAATGATCTGGTAAGACGAGCTCGTGATAAAGTTTTCCATGTACAATGTTTCCAGTGTACGGTATGCCAAAAAAAACTAGATACCGGTGAACAGGTTAATTTTCCGTTTTCTTTTTTTTCTAAATTTTTAATTTAAGTTAATCGTTTCTGATAAAATTATAGTAATTTCGTTAACTGAAAATATTATTGATAAGATAAAGCTCACAACAAAGAAAAAAAGTTTTGTTAAATTTAAATTAAGGAAAGATGAAAATTAGTTAAAAACTAGCTTTAACTTACACTAATATTATGCAAAAAGAATTAAATAACAGAAAGTTATAACAACTTTGTCAAGTTTATTAATTTATTCAAAAATTTTGATTAATTTTTTTGTCGAAAATAAAAAATTTAAATTTCCATTATAATATTTTTAGTATTGCATGTCATTTTATTTAATATTTTTAAAAATATTTTTATTTCACTAACATATTTGATGTTTGGTTTTTCTATTTGATATTTCGGTTATGTCAAAGATATTTGGCATCGAAACAGCATGGATGGATAGACGTCATCAAGAAGTGGTCGTAGTAGTAGTAGTAATATTGATAGATGTATGGAACTCTCTCGTATTCCTCGGGGGATTTCTTAAAGCAAGCTTAAACTTGCCATTACACGAAAACTACCCTTAAAATCTTTCGATCATTTTCTTTTTAAAATTTTAAAATATAAATATAAATGTATAAATATATGGATATATAAATATATAAAAATACAAATATATAAATATATTTATAAACCAAATACAAATATAAATATAAATATAAATATAAATACAAACATAAATATAAATATAAATATAAGTATAAATATAAATGAATAAATAAATAAATAAATAAATAAATATATATATATATATATATATATATATATATATATATATATATATATATATATATATATATA